TAAGACCACTCTGGAAATCAGTATGGCGGTTGCTCAGAAAAATGGGAATCAGTCTACCTCAAGATCCAGCCATTCCTCTCTTGCGTATATACCCAAATAATGCACGTTCATACAACAAGGATATATGTTCAGTCATGTTCACAGCAGCATTGTTTGTAATAGCCAGAACCTGGAAGCAACCTAGATGCCCCTCAACTGAAGAATGGATAGAGAAAATGTGGTACATTTATATAATGGAGTACTACTCAGCAGAAAAAAAGTGATGGAATCTTGAAATTCACAGGCAAATGGATGGAACTAGAAGAAACTATCAAACATGGTATTACTCACTCATATATGAATTTTAGACATAGAGCAAAGGATTACCAGCCTGCAATCCTCTTCACCAAAGAAATTAGGAAACATGAAGTACTCTAGGGGAAAATGCATGGACCCCATGAATGGGAAGGGGCAGGAACTCCTGAGCTAATTGGGAGCATGAGGGTAGGGGAGAGGGAGCTGACAGAATGAGAGCAGAAGATGAGGAAAGGAGAGGAGGAAATGGAGGAGCAGAAATATTGAGTTGGGGGAAGAATAGAGGAGAGAGAGCAGGATGAGAGATACCATATTAGAGGGAGCCATTATAGGTCCGAGGAGAGATCTGGCACTAGGGAAATTTCCAGATATCTACAAGGATGATATCAACTAACCATCTAACAGTGGAGAGGCTACCTTAAATGCTCTCCCCTGATAATGAGATTGATGGCTAACTTATATTCCCTAGATGCTATCTAGGAAGCCAGTGTAGGACAGATCCAGACCCCTGAACATGGATGTCAATGAGGAGGCCTCTGTACTCTAGGGGGCCCATGGTAGTGGATTAGAATTTTTCCCTGGTGTAGGAAGGGACTTTGAGAGTCCATCCCACATGAAGGGATGCACTCTTGCCCTGGACACATGGGGAAGGGCCTAGGCCCAGCCCAGGATGATGTGGTGGACTTTCGGAGACCCCGTTGAGGGCACTACCCTGCCTGGGGAGTGGAGGGTGGATGGGGTGGGGGGTAGTTGGGGTGGGATAGGAGGGGTGAGGGTGAGGGGAGGGAGAGGGAGAAGGAATTGACATGTGAAACAAGCTTGTTCTTAATTTGAACAAAAAATAAAAAATAAAAAAAATAAAAAAAAAAAACAGAAAAAACAAACCACAGAGGTGATGAGGTCAAGTTGGCCACATCATTGTGAACTCATGCTTAGCTTATTATAGATGCAGACGTGTGCCTGTGTCTTCTGTGTGCACATCTGGGTTACTATACACATCTGCATTCCCATCCACTGCAGAGGGGCTGGAAGCAACCACACTCCGGGAACAAAAGGCATCCTTACTGCCCAGGTAGCACCATCTACAGAAAGAAGCCAGGGCTGCCTGGAAAACGATCTGCAGTCTCAATCTCAGTGAGTGGGGGATTGTAGCACTGAGCACTGGCGTGGGGAGTGCAGTATTGAGCAGGGGGTGTAGTGCTGAGTGGGAGTATGAAACACAAACATAGAGAATCTTTAGTACCAGGAAGTAGGAAAGTACTCAACAGTTAACGAAAACGCAGTAGTAGTTATGTGTCCAGAGGGCGTGCCACCAACTGAAATTGGACAGCCAGAAATGGAACCATTTGAGCCACACATTAAGCAGAAAATTTCCATGAGTCGTTGTGATAGATATTAATAATTGAAGAAACAAAATAAATGGAAACAAGTAGATCAATCATTTACAGAGAATTCTATATATTACCTATAGTAACTCTTGATTTAATACAAACTATACATAGTGAGCTCCTTCCAATATGGAAGAATGAAATCAAAAACCCTACAGCGTGGATATCAACAGTACTATCTCATGCAGGTAACCAAAGTCAACATCAACTTTGACAGCTGTGTTCATGGTTACGTGCTTAAGAATTTTCAGGGTCACAAAAATGACAATTTACATCAACAAGCTCCCCCCCAACACATATAACCCCAGAATAACCATGAGAAAAAGAAAACATCAGATGTTCCAAGTGAGAAGTGATCTCTATAACACCTGACCAGGGGCTGGGGAGATGGCTTCTGGGGTGTAGCACTTGCCATACAAAGAAGGACTAGGGTTTGAATCCTAGAATCTGTGTAAATGCCAAGTGGGTGTGGTGGCTTGCCTAGAATCCCAGCACTTGAAAAGTAGTGACAGGGGCTTTTCCAAGAAAGCTAGGTAGCTGAGCTGGAGAGATGGCTCAGAGGTTAAGAGCGCCGACTGCTCTTCCAGAGGTCCTGAGTTCAATTCCCAGCAACCACATGGTGGCTCACAACCATCCATTATGAGATCTGGTGCTCTCTTCTGGTGTGCAGAACGTTGTATACATAATAAATAAATAAAATCTTAAAAAAAAATTCCAACTTAAAAAAAAAAAAGAAAGAAAGAAAGCTTGGTAGCCTGGATAGCCAGAAAGGCAAGCTCTGGGTTCAGTAAGAGACCCGGCCTTGAATTGTAATGCAGCTTGAATAATAAAAACCCAAAGACAGTGCTGCAGAGATGGCTCAGTCATGAAAGGCTAGGCTCACAGCCAAAAACCAAAAACAAAAAGCAAAACAAAACAAAACAAAAACCCAGAGAAAGATGTTGGGGTCCAAACTGAAGATCAGAAAAGCAAATCAGCCAGCCACTAGAGAGCTCTTACCTCTACCAAAGCTAGGACCAAAGTGGGCGATCCTGTCCTCAGAGTGACTGCAGACTGCAATGCTCCTCACCTAACCTCAGACAAACTGTAGATGGTAACCTTGGCTTCCATACAGGCATGCACACGCATGTACACCTGTACACATGTACACCAATACACAGGAAACACACAGAGGTGTACACACAGATCATACACACATCGAAAACCAAATCTGATCAGTACTCCTCAAAAGCTTCAAGGTCATAAAGCCGGGAGGGGTGTTGACGATGCATAAGAAATCATCTAACCATGGTATGGCGTCCACGATGTGATGTTGAGACAGATGAAACCGGAACAATCTGAATAAAGCATGGCCTAAACTAACACAGACTATGGGTTACAAACTATATGTGGCTGGGTTTCTCGTGCCCACTTAAAATCCCAGCACTCAGGAGACTGAAGCAGGAGTGTCACTTCAAGTTGGAAGCCAGTCTGTGAGTTCCAGGCCAGCCAGAGGGGCAAAATGAGACTCAGTCTCAAACACCAAACCAAAACAAAATTGTATGTGAGCAATGCCCTTAAGTCTACATTTTAATACCTAAAATATATTCTGAAGCAGTACCTTAAAAGTGTACTTTAAGCCGGGTGGTGGTGGCGGTGGCGCACGCCTTTAATCCCAGCATTCAGAAGGCAGAGGCAGGCGGATCTCTGTGAGTTCAAGGCCAGCTTGGTCACTGAGTTCCAGCACAGCTAGAACACAGAGAAACCGTATCTCCAGAAAAAAAATAATAATAAGGACTTTAATCAATTATGTTTTATATCCCAAAGTAAAATTCCAACCAGAGGGACAGCAATGGCCCGAGGAACCGAGATAAAAAGACAGTGCTGTGCTGTCTGCTGCCCTGAATTTAGCTCTGAGGACTTCCTCCAAAGACCATCAGATGATAATGAAGCCTGAGCGCACCAGTGGGGTGTGGGCTTGTTACCTAGCAACACGCAACCTCCTGTTTCCATTCCATCTTTCTACAGTGCATTAGCTACTTTGAAGCTGTCATTGTCTTAAGCAAATAGGCAGGACACTGGCCTGGGGTGGAGAGGCTGAGTAAATACTTCTGGCCCTGTTCCCATATTTCCAGAACAGGATTGGAGAGCCGTTCAAAACAGCGCTTAGTAAGTTTCCAGGTGCTAGTCTCGCTGCTGGTCCAAAGACAAGGCAGACCAAGGCATGCTCTTCTCAAATGTGCCTTAGCAGGGACTCTGATGCAGGGGCATAGTCTCAGGCCTCACTCCAGACCTCCTGAGCCAGAAACCTGGGCCAGCATAGGGGAGAGCAGCAATTCTGTCTTTTAGCAAAGACAGAAAGGTTATTCCAGCACACAGTACAGTGTGAGAATCACTGGGCTGCTATGCACAAGAAACCTGGCTTATTTGTGGGGAAGCATGGGAAGCAAACAGATGTGGATTTGTCTATGACCCAAGAACACAACTGTGAAGCCACAGGTCTGTGTGACAAGCCAGCGGTTGTTACAGTGAGGAGCACTTTGGCTGTCACAGAGTTTTCTCATGGCTCACTCAGACCCCAGCAGCCAAGAGCAGATGGGAGTGACACTGAAGGTGGCCTCCACTTGGACTCAGCCAGTGGCATGTGTGCATTGGATTGGTTCCAAATTCAGGAGTGCCTGGCTGGATCTTGAGCTACTACTCTTGGGACTAACCTCATTTTGAGATAGTTTCATTTAGCTACTAATTAGAAACTGTTTAAAAGAAACTGCTTACACACACAGAAACTTCAGGCTTAGAAAGTCATTGCATAGGATGGTAGCCTAAAGACTAATCTATTTTGTTGTTGCTCTTTTATCAAGCGTGAGTGTGAGTGTGTATATATGTGTGCACGTGTGCGTGTGTGAGCACATGTGCCAGTGTGTGTGTGTGTGTGTGTGCCCGTGTGTGTATGTGTATGTGCATGTGTGTGTGCATGTGTGTGTATATGCGTGTGTGTGTGTGTGTGTGTGTGCATGTGTGTGTATGTGCTTGTGTGTGCATGTGTGTGCATGTGTGTGCATTTGTGTGTGCATGTGTGTGTGCATGTGTGTGTATATGCGTGTGTGTGTGTGTGTGTGTGTGCATGTTTGTGTGTGCATATGTGTGTATGTGTGTGTGTGTGCATGTGTGTGCATTTGTGTGTGCATGTGTGTGTGCATGTGTGTGTATATGCGTGTGTGTGTGTGTGTGTGTGTGCATGTTTGTGTGTGCATATGTGTGTATGTGTGTGTGTGTGCATGTGTGTGCATTTGTGTGTGCATGTGTGTGTGCATGCACAAATGTGTGCTACATTCTGGTTTATCATCACCCTCATCACCTCTTAATTCCCTCCCACCACATGGCTCCACCCCTCCTCACACACACACGCCCCTTCGCTCTTTCCCATGAGCAGCGCACTCCAGCCTTACCCTCAGGAGCCCCCTCAAGGTCATCAAAGGGCCCATGGGCCTGCTGGTGGATCAAGTCCCTCATGAGAACGGCAAAGCTGTAAACATCTCCTTGTGGGGTGCCAGGCCAGGGCAGCTCCTGAAGCCGCAACAACTCTGGGGCCGTCCAGTAGAGCTCTGCATGACAATGGGGTGACATTTTGAGGGAAAGCGACATCTACTTCCTTCTGTTATGCAGATGCTATATGAGGACAGAGCATCCTAAGAGGCTGACCCTCTGAGTGCCTGCCTGGGAAAGCAATATCCCTAAGAAAGACCATGGAGAAAAAGGTTACCATAGTTTACTCAGTACCATGATACAATAGAATGTTACTATGTATTAAGTTTAAACTTACATGTAAATCAAATAGTTGGTGAAAATAAATTGTATATGATTTTTAAGTCAGTAAATGTTTCATTCGAGTGCCTACTGTATATAACTAGATGCCCTGAGTCGCATAAAAACTTGAGTGAAAGGGGGTCATGTAAGGAAAAAAATTCAGTCATGTCTGGCCTGGCAGGCAGCTCACTCCTGGACTCAGTTCTCTTTAAACAGCCTGTGGTGATATATTATTTATGATTTAATAAAGATTGCCTAAAGACCATAGAAGCAAAGCAAGCAAGCCAGTAGCTCTCACCTCTACCCAGCTGAAATGGCAATCCTGTCTCCGCAAATCTGCAGAGGCAAAAGCTTTGAGTTCCTGTCTCCTCCTCCTCATATCCGTTTTCCACCCAGCCATATCCTCCTGTCTCCACCTCCCTAGTGCTGGGATCAAACGCATGAGCTCTGTTACTCTTCACTCTTGTGTAGGCCTGGATGGCCTTGAACTCAGAGAGATCCATCTGCCTGAATCCTGGGATTAAAGGTGTGTACCACCACTGCCTGGCTTCTGCGGCTAATTACTGTGGCTGCCTTTGCTTTCTGATACTTCAGGTAATCTTTATTAAATCATAAGTAATTTATCACCGCACAGCCTGTATGCGGGCTAGTTTTATGTCAACTTGACACAGGCTAGAGTCATCTGAAAAGAGGGAGCCTCAGCTGAGAAAATGCTTCCATAAGATTTGACTGCAGGGCATTTTCTTAATTAGCATTGAAGGTGGAGGACCCAGTCTGTTGTGGGTGAGGTCATCCCTGGGCTGATTGTCCTGGATTCTATGAGAAAGAAGGTTGAGCAAGCCATGGGGAGCAAGTCAGTAAACAGCTCTTCTCCATGGCTTTAGCATCAGCTCCTGCCTCTAGGCTCCAGCCCTGTTTGAGTTCCTGACCTGATTTCCTTTGATGACGTACAGCAATGTGGAGCCAAATAAACCCTTTCCTCCCCAAGGTGCTTTTGGTTATGGTGTTTTATCACAGCAATAGTAACCCTAACTAGGACAGCCTGGCAGATTTTACCACCTATACTGAGAACGTGGGATGAAAATAGGAAGGGATATAGAAGACAGCAGAAAAGAGCTTCCGTGTGTCGGTGGCGCTCAGTAACCCAACTAAGGCAAGATGAAAACCAGGCTCCTAACCCAAGCCTTGTACCATAGATTCATGCCACCCTATGGTGGTTTATTTTCTCACTCTCCAAGGATGAACCAAACAGCTTCACTTCATCATCTGGAAAGAGAAAAACTAGCCACGGGTGCCCCTTCAAGGCAGCACCATGAAGCAAAAATGGAAAACAAAACCTTTGACTGACTATGTAACCTATGCAACTGGGTCTAAGATCTGCCCGTGGCTACCTGAATGGTCGGTGGTCTCCTGGTTGTAGATCCTGTGTGTGCAGCCATGCTTGAACTCCCACAGCCCAAACCCCGACAGCTTCACTTGCATACGGCCATCTACCAGGCAGTTGGAAGGTTTCAGGTTGCCGTGAGACCTCAGCGGGCTCCCATGGAGGAACAGCATACCCTGCAAAGGTGATGGTGAGCACGGAGACAGAGGAGAAGAGCACTGCTCATAGCCACACAGACACCCCCACTCCGTGCTTGTTTTAGAAAAGCCGCAAGCTCCTTGTCTATGAAGCTGATCGAGGCAGAAACAGGAGGAAACATGGCTTATGACTCCAGGCGGTGGTGGCACGCGCCTTTAATCCCAGCAGAGGCAGAGGCAGGCGGATCTCTGTGAGTTCGAGACCAGTCTTGTCTACAAGAGCTAATTCCAGGACAGCCTCCAAAGCCACAGAGAAACCCTGTCTAGGAAAACCAAAGAAGGAGAAGACAAGTGTGGCTTCATATTAGACTCTCCTCATGGTCAGGAATCTGAGCTCAAATCTCAGCTCTACCACCAGGCCGAGGGGGAAGTTGGTAGTTAGAAAAAAAACGCCATGCTTGGGCCTTGAATCTCAGAGCCTATGTTAGCAGCAGAGCACTTATGGCTCAGGCTGAGTTTGAGTGTTTAGGGCCCAGAAGCAAAAGAGTACTCAGAATGGGGGAGACCGGTGCTCAGTGTGGAAGATGCTTGTGACTCATCAAGGCAGGAAACGTACCGGTCCAGCCAGGAGAGACCTGTGTTTTTCCAGAGGACTGGAGCCTTTCCACAGGCTGGGAGGGGCTCATAGGAGCATCTCAGATTGAGGCAGGAAAAATTTTAGGAAGGTAGGTGGGAGGAAGAAGTAACTTTAGGGGGAAAACTCTCATATTTGAGACAGGGTTAGAGAAACGATCTTTGCATGTGTCTATAATTTCCCAAGGCAGACTGGGAGCAGTGAGATGAAGGTTATATTTATTTATGTATTTGTTTATTTATTTTGGCACTACTGTAAAAGCTCTGGGCCTTTTCAGCCAGTATCTCTCTGAATTGCTCATTTTTGGAATTTTGATAGGAGCTGGCAGAAAAGCAACAAACTCAGTATGTCCAGGTACAAGGTCAGCATGGAACATGGGAACCTGGGATAGCTTGGGTGTGGTGGCCCCTCCCACCTGCCTTAGGGAACAGGTGTCAAAGTGACAAGAACAAATGACAGTGTTTCTTTCAAGGGTCCTGTAGGATTTTGTTTTTCTTTCTAAGGATAACTGTCAGGTGTGAATGTTGTCAGGTGTGAATACAAGCCCCTTATATAAACTAACTCATGCAATATTCCTGAATGATCCTAGAGAGGAGGGTGGCACCACGGTCAGCCTCTCTCACGGGTGAGTAAAGGGAGGTAGAGAAGTCAGCCTGCCAGGCAGTGCAGTGGCGGTGAGGGAGGTAGGCTGGATACTCTGAGGTCAGATTCCAGCCATGGCCTTGACCAGTTCCAGCTCCCTCTGCTGAGGAAAGAAGCCAATGACAGGTAGACAGCCATGACTGCCAGCCATAAGCTTCTGTGGAGACTCATACTGTGTGTGTGGGATTGGTTTCTGATGGACAATTAAACAGTAGTAAACATTCATAAGCACTTATACTATGTGTGCTTTACACAGTCTTTTCTGAGCCAGGTCACTATTCTCATAAGGAAACAGCAGTTTAAATGCTCACACGTAGAAGGGGACAGAGCTGGTCCAAGCCCAGGCTTCACAGCCTTCAAACCCTATCCACTTCTCAAGCACGGAGCACTCTGTTTCCGGTGCTCTGTGTGGTTGTTAAGGTTAGTGAGAGAGATGGGAGAGGGAACCACATTTCTCCAACACCCTTGCACAACAGCAAACGAGATCCCAATAGGCTCTGAGGCAGCTGGGAAGGACAGAGGGCCCAGGTAGGCTGGCTTACAAGGCATGAGATGGCATAGTAAGGAGGATCTGAGGGGGGCATTCTTAAAAGTTAAAGCTTGGGACCCCTAAGCTTTGAGCCTATTAACCAGCATTTCAAGTGATGTTGATGGGTTAAGCACACCACTGGCTTCTTTCCTCAGCAGAGGGAGCCGGAACTGGACAAGGCCATGGCTGGAATCTGACCTCAGAGTATCCAGCCTACCTCCCTCACCGCCACTGCACTGCCTGGCAGGCTGACTTCTCTACCTCCCTTTACTCACCCGTGAGAGAGGCTGACCGTGGTGCCACCCTCCTCTCTAGGATCATTCAGGAATATTGCATGAGTTAGTTTATATAAGGGGCTTGTATTCACACCTGACAACATTCACACCTGACAGTTATCCTTAGAAAGAAAAACAAAATCCTACAGGACCCTTGAAAGAAACACTGTCATTTGTTCTTGTCACTTTGACACCTGTTCCCTAAGGCAGGTGGGAGGGGCCACCACACCCAGGCTACCCCAGGTTCCCATGTTTCATGTTGACCTTGTACCTGGACATACTGAGTTTGTTGCTTTTCTGCCAGCTCCTATCAAAATTCCAAAAATGAGCAATTCAGAGAGATACTGGCTGAAAAGGCCCAGAGCTTTTACAGCAGTGCCATAAATAATAAATAAATAACCCAAGAACTTAGAAATGCTGACTGCATGTTATTTCAGTGGCTCCCCAGTGAAGCCATCTTGTTCTGTCCAGAATCCTAGAGCCAATACTGCATTGGAAATGTGAGCCAATACAGACAGCAGTAAGAAAATGGCCAAGAGAGTGCATGTATCGCTAACCTCACCCCTGTATCAGGAGACAGGGCTGCTTTACCTCAGCAGCACGCTTGTTGAGATGGCAGAACTTAACCCCCATTCTCATTAAGGAGTCTAAGATCCAAGTGTACCATCTAGTGAGACCTGAGCCCAAACCAGAGCTCTGCCTGGCCTTGCAAACACACGAGGTTTGTCTTTTGCCCTTGCTGGTCCAGTCCTGGGCAGGAGACTCACAGTCTCATGTAGCTCCTCATGCTCTGCCTCACAACAAGGAAACAACAGTTTAAGTGCTCACCAGGAGGCGGGGACTGCAATGGAGCTCACCGGGAGGCGGGGACTGCAATGGAGCTCACCGGGAGGCGGGGACTGCAATGGAGCTCATTACACGTATAAAATGAGCCTGCCAGGGGTGGTGGGGATCTGGGAGTACAGTAGCCTCCACAAGGTGGCATGCATGCTTTTGTTTTTCTTTTCTTCCTAATAAAACAGTGTCACAATGCAATGCTGTCAGAGAGCAAACAGAGGTAGTGTGTGCTCATGATTCATGAGAAGATTCCATGCACTTGGGCATGGCTTGTACGACTTGCTCTACTGGAAACTTCTGGAAGGTACCCCAGGGCTCCAGGGCTCTGACTCTCATGCTTGTGTTCACTGGTGCTTAGCAGGAAGCATGAAAGAAAACACTGCCACACCCCCAGTGTGACACTCACCAGTTGGGCCAGCGATTTCACCTGACTAGGCCTCATTGTATTCCCTCTTGAAAATGGAGTCCTTACTACTACTAATGGTTAGCTAGTAAGAGCACCATCTGACCAAAACACAATGCAAGCCACATGTGTACTTTTCATTTTTTTCAGCAGCCACCTTAAGAAAAGCTGAACAAGTGAAAATAATTTTAACCATACTGTGAACTTAATTTGGTGCATTTAAAAATCTTTTGTGAAAAACATCTGTGGGTTTCTTTTTTCACTAAGCTCTCAAATTGCATGTGGATCTCTTTTATACTTGAGACATATCTCAAGTGGGACTAGCTACCTTTCTAGTGTTCGTTGTTGTTAGCACATGTTCCTTGTGGTGCCAAATTCAGACAGACCAGAATTATTCCACAGAATTCTTGGTAGATTTCAACAAGAGACTGCAGTTTTTTAATACCCATACTGGAGTTGTTAATGAGAGTACTGATAATTACTACAGTACTAAAAATTCACACATTTATTACATATCTGTTCAGGGGTAGCCACAGAGCTAGGCGCTTTATGTACTTTGGCTCTCAAATCAACTTTCAGAGATGGAATCTGATACTGTCTTTAATTCTGAGTCTCACGGTGGTGACAGTCATGTGACCAGTATGTGACAGACTCGTGTAAATCTCTAAGCCAATTTCTATGTCAAATTGTCTCTTATCCGCAGATTTCATCGATGCTTCTTTTAGCTAAAAATGAGGGGACCACCTTTACTCAGGCAGACTTTGTTATGATTTCCAAAGCCTTTTGCAAAGATCATCCCACTGCTTTGGGTTCCTGGGGGCAGGAAGTGAGCTTCATTCCCCTATGCCTTCCATGTTCAGACTACAATCAGATCCCAAGTAAATACTCAACCCTCTAATTCGGTTCACTGGCTTGTTTGGACTCTCTCTCTCTCTCTCTCTCTCTCTCTCTCTCTCTCTCTCTTATGTAGAGGAAATGCTGGCAAATACACACCCAGAGCAGACTTGTGTCTTATGAATGGGGTGTGACAGTTAAGTCCTCATCTGTCTTCAAACAGTCCCAGAGTAAAACAAGCCTTTAGCAGATGCTCATCCAAAGTTTACAGTTTATAACAACAATGGCTTTCCGGGATTGCCCTTGGAGACATAATGATGGTGAAGACTGTTTGTCTACCTTGCTTGGCAACAAGATGCCAGCCTTCCACTAGAGCTGGGGAACCAGGGTCTCAGCAGACCAACCGAGTGCCTTAGGAACAAAGGGCAGTGAAACCTTTGAGAAAGCAAAGGTTCTGAGCCAACCAGGCCAACATTCAGTCCTCTTACATGAAAGCACAGAGGGGAATAGACTACAAGGTCATTCTCTGAGTAGGTGTCCCAAGCCTCAACAAGGACAGGGCTTAGCTTTCGTACTTGCAGCCCTTCCACCACCCAGCAGGATGTCCTCTGAGGGGTTTGTTTATTGATGAGTGCAATGCTGGCTGGAGGATTCGGACAGTTTCTACCATGAGTAAGCTGGAGTACCTTCATCTCTAGGATTTACTTCCAGGTACTTTTCTTGGTCCTTTTAAATGGCAGAGGGGTAACACAGCAAATTAAGCTACGCAGTAGTCCTGCTTGAGGAGACAGCCTCAAGTTGCTGGATCCTACTTACTGGCTGTAACACACTTCATAGCTCATCTTTTCAATTCCATATCTGCCTTGCTCATCCCTCACCACACTCTGTAAACCTACCATGAGTCATCTGGACTTTTGGGTCTAGCCACCCTCTCTCTGCATGTTCCCTACCTTCGTGGAAGGGATGGATCTCTCTCTACCCACCTCTGAATGGTCCTTGTCAGACCCTGGAGGACACCTATGTAATGGTTCCTCTCTGTTATAAATCATAGCAGAAATTTCTAGTTTTTCATGATACATAGTGTGGTATGGGAAATCAGGCTGCAAGACTCAAAATGCCTAGATATGAATGAATCATATTGATAACTATTCAGAAGCTGTGGGACTTCAGGCAAGCTATATAAATGCTCTGTATCCAGTTATCCCATCTGCAAAATGAGGGCAACAACAGGTGTGCCTTGTTGTAAGAAATAAATAAGTCAATAAGACAAAACACTAATAAATGTCCTTATCGAACAGTATCCACACATTCTATGTAATATGTGTGTGCTATTACAGTGATTATCATCTTCTTCCTAACTGCAGCCCCAAACAAAGGCTGTGCTTTTCACACCCTCTCATATTTACACCTCTAGCCCACAGTTTTATCTTTGTAGTACTGATTCCCAGGTTCTGAGGAGGGACTCAGGGGCTAGAGAGAAGAAAGGCATATCCTCCCCAGCTCTACTTGTGGTGCAGTGATTGGATTCTCTCTGGGACAAGAAGTTCTCCCCAAAGCCTAGATGCCCTGTTATTTCCTGATCGGGCAGGGTTACCATTCATTCCATCTTTGGTTTAAAACACTTTTCTCCCTCCACATTGACGTATGATTAGAGAATGAGAAAACCATGGAACATCTGATTGAAGTGATCAGATTTAAACCTGAAGTCATTCAGTTTAAAGACATTGAAAGAGAGCCAACAAAGATGGAGAACAACTCAGGAATATATGGCATGCATTCTTTAAGTCAGTTTCTGTTATACTCACATTGACTATGTCATATGCAAATGAGAGCTTGAAAATCCAATCCATCTCATGATCTGAGTTTCTCAAGACATCCTAGAAAACAGTTATTGCAAATATCACTTGGACTTAAGCTCCCCACATAGAGCAGGACAGATGATCACGTACGTAACTCATGTCTTTCTGCCTGGAACTAATGAGAGAAGGGGCAAGTGACACTTGAGTGGAAATCTTTGCAGAAAACTGTGAAGTCTAAAATCAGGCTACAAGACTCAAAATGCCTAGATATGAATCATATTGATAACTATTTAGAAGCTGTAGGACTTCAGGCAAGCTATATAAATGCTCTGTATCCAGTTATCCCATCTGCAAAATGAGGGCAACAATAAGTGTGCCTTATTGTAAGAAATAAATAAGTCAATAAGACAAAACACTAATAAATGTCCTTTATCCAACAGTATCCACACATTCTATGTAATATGTGTGTGCTGTTACAGTGATTATCATCTTCTTCCTAACTGCAGCCCCAAACAAAGGCTGTGCTTTTCACACCCTCTCATATTTACACCTCTAGCCCACAGTTTTATCTTTGTAGTACTGATTCCCAGGTTCTGAGGAGGGACTCAGGGGCTAGAGAGAAGAAAGGCATATCCTCCCCAGCTCTACTTGTGGTGCAGTGATTGGATTCTCTCTGGGACAAGAAGTTCTCCCCAAAGCCTAGATGCCCTGTTATTTCCTGATCGGGCAGGGTTACCATTCATTCCATCTTTGGTTTAAAACACTTTTCTCCCTCCACATTGACGTATGATTAGAGAATGAGAAAACCATGGAACATCTGATTGAAGTGATCAGATTTAAACCTGAAGTCATTCAGTTTAAAGACATTGAAAGAGAGCCAACAAAGATGGAGAACAACTCAGGAATATATGGCATGCATTCTTTAAGTCAGTTTCTGTTATACTCACATTGACTATGTCATATGCAAATGAGAGCTTGAAAATCCAATCCATCTCATGATCTGAGTTTCTCAAGACATCCTAGAAAACAGTTATTGCAAATATCACTTGGACTTAAGCTCCCCACATAGAGCAGGACAGATGATCACGTACCGTAACTCATGTCTTTCTGCCTGGAACTAATGAGAGGAGGGGCAAGTGACACTTGAGTGGAAATCTTTGCAGAAAACTGTGAAGTCTCACTCCATGTGGAGAAAGGATACAGTCTTGAATTCTACCAACACCTCGCTTCCCTGACACAAAACTAACTGATAGCCATTTGTCGGAAGGGGTGGGATTCAAGCAGAGGGCTGTCATGGTAGAACAAATAGAGTTCATTCAGTTTCCACCCAGAGGAAAGGGAACCAGTAGTTGGCAGATTCACTCATATTCCTGGCAGATCCCAGGAAGAAGTCTAAGATAATCCAGGACTTTTGGTGAGACAACAAACGGAACCATGCATGGATAAATGGGGGAAAGATGGGTAAGGTTTTCCGCTGGCTGTCTAATGAAGCCCGACAACGACGTAATATTGTTGCTTACCTTCAGACTTCCTTTTTTGCAGTACTGTGTGACAATGCAGATGTTGGGCGGTTCTGTGCAAACACCAAAGAAGGGGACGATGTTTTCATGCTTTAACTCACACATCTGGAAACAACAGTGGCAATATTATATATAACACGCACAGAGGGTGCCTTACACGGGGACCACACTGTGTGCTTTATCCACTTTTAGTTAATTGCCAAGGTGCTGTGCGAGAACTCCTTCCATCTTACAGGCAAAGGAACGATGCCTTAAAGGTGGAATGACTTACTGAAGGGGATACACAGCTCAATGGCACAGCCAGGAAGTAAACCCAGGGAGTCCGGCAAACAAACCAGGGGTTATCAAAGTCCAATCCAAGCCACAGTAGTAATTAAACCTCATCACCACAGGCAGATCCTGCACCCATCCCCTGGTGTGTGACACTGGGTCATTGACATGAAGCAAAGCGTCAAACCCTCCCCAAGATCCAAGATCCAAGCTCAAGAGGAAGCAGACACCCATCACATCAGAGGATGAAGGGCCAGAATTAAGGCCAGGAAAAGTTAAGGGAGCAGACAGAAGTAGGAGGGAACCAGACTTCAGGCTCCTGCCTAAGGACCAAGAGCCTGAGGTCCAAGCCCTTGCAGCCGATAAAGAGCCCTGTGTCAAGCTGGAAACCCCCTTCCACCACTGAACCTTTGGGAGGGAGGCCGCTTCTCACAATGGGAACAGAGGACCGACAGAGCAGAGAGGAGCCTCACCAGCCAGACTTCCTGTAGCACAGTTGGCTTCTTAAGCCATGCTTCTGCTTCATCATCAATATAGCAGAGGGCCACGTGATTGCCCTAGAATCAGAGACAAAGTAAAAATCTCTTTTTTCTTTTAGTATTTTTTCTTTTCTTTCTTTTTTCTTTTCTTTTTTTTTTTCTGAGACAGGGTTTTTGTGTAGTTTTGGATCCTTTCCTGGAACTCACTCTGTAGACCACCCACAGAGATCCTCCTGCCTCTGCTTCCTGAGGGCTGGGATTAAAGGCGTTTGTCACCACCGCCCGGCTCCCTTTTTTTGCCTGCATGTTTTGCCTGCATGTGTATCTGTGTACCACGTGTGTGCAGTACCTGGGGAGAACAGAAGAGGGCGTTAGATCTCCTGGGATGAGAGTTATAGGTGGTTGTGAGCTGCCCTGTGTGTGCTAGGATTCTCAACCTGGGATGAGAGTTATAGGTGGTTGTGAGCTGCCCTGTGTGTGCTAGGAATCAAACCCAGGTTCTCTGGAAGAGCAACCAGTGCTCTTCACCACTAAGTCATCTCTCCAGCCCCAAAGTAGAATGTTCTTAACTCAGGATGATCCAGAAACATCACCACTCAGAAAAGGTGAGAATGGTGAATGGGAAAACTGGGGAGAGCGCCATCTATGGGCGATAGCATCCAGATCCCCACTGACCAGTCACCCCCCTTGGTGACATTGTGGTAGGCCCAGGTTCAGCAGTAAGGCCTCCTTCGCCTGTCAGCACAGCCCTGCAAGGGGGCTGCACTTAGCCCCGTTCTGGATGGGATCACTGAGGTTGGGTAGCTTGTCCAGGGTGGCAGATGTGCAGTAGTGCAGCCAGGTCTGAATATCTGGTTGCAAGGCCAGCTCTCTCTTCTATGTCTCATTATCATCCAAGAAAATAGTGAGTTGACGCCCTATGTCTGGAGTCAGGTGCCTAGTTCAAGCCCATTGTAACAATTCAATTTCACTTCTCCCAGCCTCCCTTTCTTCACCTGTAAAATGTCAGAGGGCATCACCACCAAACTTGTATGTTTTGGAGAAGGATGGGGTCAGTTTAAGCAGCACGTGGCATATAAAGCTTCCATGAAATGGCAGATCTTACTTTTGTTACCTGCTGGTTCTGCTTTTAGAGTCACTCAATCCCCAACCTCAACAACTTGCAATAGTGAGGTAGGGGCTGATTGGAAAGGAGGGTGTGGTCTATAAACACAACAGCAGGGGGCGGGGCAAGGCTCAGATCAGCTAAATATCATCTCCCAGGTCTGCCACTTTCAGTGAAGAAGCAGCTGTGAAGGGGTTGGGATACAGACCCGGTTCCTATGGAGGAAGGGGCTCCTGTGTAACTGAGGAAAGGTTCCTGGAAGACGTGATGCCCGTGTGGAAACATGAAGGATGAGAAGGTTCCAGCTGGGGTGGGGAAGGCAGAGTGGACACGACACTGCCAGAAACTGAAACCACACTTGAGTGCAACGGTCGGTGATTGCTTTGCTTGGCACTTTCTGCCTCCATTTCCCAGGACCAAGGGAGCTGAGCTTTTAAAGGCTGGTGAGGCATGTGTTCTGGGGCCAGCTGAGAAAGGATGCCGGGAGTAATGTCTGAGCTTCAACAGCTGCCAGTTTTACATGGCTGATGTATCAGTATCTGGCATGAATCTGGGGTAAAGAAATCCTCACTCTGAGACTGTGCTACCTTCTAAGTTTGCCACTAGCCACCTGGGACTATTTAAATTGTGTGTGTATAGCTGGGCATGTATGTGGTATTGGAGGTCAATGTTGGGTCAATTTCTATTGGTTTCCACCTTACTTTTGAGACAGAGTCTCTTGCTGAACCTAAAGGTCATCAATTCAGCCAGAAAGGTTGGCTAATCAGCCCGTCTCTACCTCTCCAGCGCTGGGGTCACAGTCATGTGTTGCCACTCCTGGTTGCTGCTGTTCTATTTAGGTGCTGGGGATTGAGAGTCGGGTCCCAGTGCTTATAGTGAGGGCTGCCCTGGCTGAGTCATATCTGCAGCTCCCTAGCTATTTAAATTTAATTATCTTTAACATCCAATTTGCCTAGAGATACTTGTGTTCAGTCACCTGTAGCCAGTGGCTGTGGTAGCTTTGGGATATTGCCATCACCGCAGAAGGTTCTACTGGGAGTTCTAAGTCTGATCGAGTTACTAGTGTAGGAATCACAGGGGAGCTTGTCACAAATGCAGAATCTCAGTCTCCACCCTGGTGACCCAAAATCTTCACTTCAGAAACATCTCTTAAGTTCTTTTTTAAGTAAAACATAGTATCTATATATACTTTGCTGTATTTAAAAAAAAATGATGGTGTTTTAGTTCTTAAAGTTAGAGAAACAGCAGTCTAGAGACACAAAACCACCTGGGATTTTGTTTGGAGAATGTTCTTATATTCATAATGTCCAGCCTGACCAAATTAAGAGAAAAGGACAGAAACCCACATTGACACTCATATGCACAGAAGTACCTGGTAAAGCCCCACGGGGGCATAAAACATCTCTTCGCCCCATTGGCTCTTGACAAAAGAGCTACAATCTTCAGAGCTTTTCACCAAAGAAGCATCACTAACATTGTGCCTCGACACAGGTGTGCCTCGTTGGGACGGCTGGAAAAAAGACACAGCTCAGTTGCTCTCAGCAGCATGGCCTAGTACCCGCAGGATGGTATATTTTGTAGATAAGGAGGATGAATTGCAAGGCCACATAGTCAATGCCTGGGAAAGCCAGGCTTTGAACTCTGCTCTTTCTGATCCAAAATGTATCTACTTGCTGCATGCCTCACTCTTGGCCTCAGCACTACCATGGGTAGTACAGGCTCTGAAGCCAGGCTACCTATATTCATGCTCTAGCTGTGCTACTTAAGCAGAGGCAGAGATGGAATTGTTTTCCTGACCCAGTGTGTGTGAGTTCACTAAGGCCAGCCTTACTCCTCCAGCTCCTACATTCTTTCAGCCCCCTCTTCCAAGGCTCTCCCTGAGCCTTGGGAGGGGAGATTGATGTACAGTTCCAGCGCTTTGGAAATGGCTGGTAGTCTTCTAAAGCTCAACTCTTCTGTGGGGTGTCCCTGTGGAGCACCCCAGTCCTATTGAAAACATTAACTCTTATTTGCATAACAATCATATCAATGCACCATCCAGGGTACCTCTGGTTTCTTTGTGAGACAGTCCTGGCTGTCCTGGCACTCGCTCTGGAGACCAGGCTGGCCTTGAACTCACAGAGATCTGCCTGCCTCTGCCTCTCAAGTGCTGGGATTAAAGGCGTGCACCACCACCACCCATGTAAGTTATCTCTATGTTTAATATTTCCAGAACCTCTTTAACAAACTACAGCACAGCTTCAGAGCATAGAAGCCTAGTCCTTTTTAAAGTGAATATTAATGGATCCCTAATGTGCAAAACGGAGCAAATCAGATTACAGCTCTGTGTGTGGAGAGGGAAGAACAGATTCAAATCCCTGGGGACATTTGGAAGTAACGGACTAATTAGTTTAGGACCCTGAAATCTCCCTGACTTGGTACCAGCCAGTCTTCCCAGCCACATGTTCTAACATTCTGACATCCTGACATGGTCTCTGTGACTTCTCTCCTTGTCACTGCTAACAATTCATTCTTCCTAAATGGCACTTCCTCTCAGAAGCCTCCATAGCACCCTCACCTCACCATGGAGACACCCCTCTGTATCCCTCTAGGGCATCCTGAAGCCTTGAATTGAGCTTAGGCTACCCTGGATGGTGCATTGATATGCTTGTTATGCAAATAAGAGTTAATGTTTTCAATAGGACTGCGGTGCTCCACAGGGACACCCCACAGAAGAGTTGAGCTTTAGAAGACTACCAGCCATTTCCAAAGAGCTGGAACTGTACATCAATCTCCCCTCCCAAGGCTCAGGGAGAGCCTTGGAAGAGGGGGCTGAAAGAATGTAGGCGCTGGAGGAGTAAGGCTGGCCTTAGTGAACTCACACACACTGTGGTTACCAGCACAAGACCGACACACGATCAAGCTAGATAAGTCCAACAGGGAGCACGGAGGAGCTCTAGGAAGTTTGGAGAGAGCCACTTTTGGAGTGGAGTAGGTGGCCACCAGTAGGTTCCGCACCCCCTGTAGATGACCCCTCCCCACATTTGCATATGAACTTAGTGTGGGAGGGGCATGAAATTGGGAATGGAGATATTTTGGGGGGAGAGGGTTGGAGGGAGGGAATGGAGGTATGGGTACACTGTTTAGATACATGATACAAATAAAAATAGTTTAATGTTTTAAAGAAATTGAAGTTTTGAGAGGCAGGGTAGTGTTCTCTGGTGAATGTAGCCTAGAAACTTAACTCAAGTCTTGAGACTTTTCTCAGTGAGTCTTCCCCTTGCTGTCTGTCATAAGTTCCTAGGGGAGGTCCCTTTGCAAGTCACCAGGGAAACCTGTGGCCTCACCTTGTGCTGGGGCAGAACAGTGATGCTGTCATAACAGATCTGCCACGAGGTGTTTCTGTGATGGCTCTGTGCTTTTCCTCTCACCACCCATAACACCAGCCCTGTAATGGCAGCTACTGTGGCAAGAACCAGGAGTGTCACTGTGATAATCACCAGAGCTGCAGGCTCACCTGGAGGTAGAGACAGACATTACTCAGTCCCACCTGTGAGCAGAGGTAAACGTGTCTCTGCCAAGCAGGTGTCTCAAAGGCTCTCTGGATATGGTGTAGGTTATAACCTGCTGAAACCATTTAGACTTGGCTCTGCTGGGACCCCTAGCTTGGATCTGCTACCCCTCCCCCCCCACACACACACCAGCTACCATGGCAAATATAGTCACCTCATTTTTGTTAACAGAAACTTCTATAGTGAGGACATAGCAATGACTTCCAACTCTTTTGTTGAACAATTACTATGCATTTTCTATAATGTCCTCCAGGCATGGTCTAATTCATAAACCAGGCTCCTAACCAGTTATTCAGCCATAGCCTCTGCCCAAACTGCTTCTGCCTCCTTGAAGGAAGTTCTAAGACTTGAAGCTTGGGTTCTTGATAGTGATGGCTCTAAACAGGGGAGGTGGGCATGATGATGTCTGAAAACACTTTCAGTTCTAGCTAGAGGGATGCTATGTCTCACTGTCCACAAGCACAGGACAGTCTCACACAGAAAGGCTTTCTGGCCCCAAGACAGTGTTGTTGAGAAACCATCCCTGCCACCTTGTCTGAGCTGTCATGCTTGCCTGCTACAGCAGGAGGCTCCATTTTGCAAAGCTTGTTATGAAATCCACAACCAGGTCTGTCTTCCAGAGGGGAGCCATGGAGCCAAGAGATGTCAGAGAAATTCCTCCAGGGTCTTTAAGCAGAGAAGACAAAGGTCTGTGTTCAGTGCATTTATTCTACTTGTCTTCACCCCATACACAACAAGAGCAACTGAGACAAAAAAAAACAAAAAACAAAAAAAACCAACAACAACAACAACAAAAATAAAACAAAACCCAGTGCCTAAACAAAAAACAAAAAAAAACCAACAACAACAACAACAAAAATAAAACAAAACCCAGTGCCTAGAGAGATGTCTTAGTGAGTGAAGGCACTTATACTGTGAAGTAGAATGACCCAGTTGGATCCCTGGAACTCTCATGATGAAAGGCCAGAACCAACTCGCCAAAGTTGTCCTTGTAGCTACACATTTGTGAATGCATGCACAGAGATGAATGAATGTAAATAAACAACAACAACAGTGAAAGCAAACAGGCTTAAGCCCCCTAATTCAAACCACTGGTGGCCTGATGAGTGTTTTCTACTTTCCTTAGCTCTTCAAACTTCAAATCTGACATCCAGTCATGAAATTCAGGGAAAGCAATGTCTTCTATTTTTTTTCCAGGTGGAATAACTTCCCCAATCTTCTAACTTAAACTATGTCTCTCGACTAAAAAATCATGCCAATGCTACAAGTGTCAGCCATGCTTGGCACAGACAGATCTTAATGCATAGCAAGTATCTTGACAGTTTACTCCCTAAGTGGAGTGCGCCCCTTCCTACCACACAGAGGACCTGCTTTGTTAGAGTTGCTTTGCTTTTGTCTGGCCTATTCTGGCACTTACTCTTCTCAAAGAAGGGAGGGAAAATGTCTCACACAGAATCTGGGTTAGCGGTAGCAGGCAGGTAGACCTGGAGTTAAGCACTACCATTCCTTTTCATTTCCTTGTTGGTTTGTAGCTGAGAAAACAATACAAAGGACTTCTGCAGGAATTCCTGGTACTGGGAGCCCAGAACAGCACAGGTCCTGATGTCCCTGGGAGTCTGTGGGAGGCAGGCTTTGTAGGCAAGTGGCTTTACTGAATGTGGGCTCAAGCCCATAGGTGGCCCCAAGATTCACTGCCTTAGGGGATCAGGGCTTCTTCTGGCCACCACTGGAAATGGGATCCAGCATCAAAGGAGGCAAACCTCTATGAAGTTACAGTTGGGGTACTGTGTTTTTTGTGTCCTCCTCTGGGATCCTTGTGTGGAACTGGGATCCAGGTGGGCTATCAAAGGAGGCAACCCCCCCCATGGAATGATAGTTGGGGTACTCTGTTTCTGCGTTCTCCCCTGGGATCCTGAAAAGGGTGATACCCACAATCTGGGCAAACCAAGTTGGTCTTTGTGAGTTCAGAAAGCTCTGATGTCATAACAGGATGCTGCCCTGCTGAAGACCTGATTTTGACTAAGCAGTGGTGGTGCACACCTTTAATTCCAGCAATCTGGAGTTCAAGGTCAGCCTGGTCTATAAATCAAGTTCCAAGACAGCGAGGGCTACACAGAGAGACCCTGTCTCAAAAACCACAAAAATAAAGAAGTGTGTGTGTGTGTGTGTGTGTGTGTGTGTGTGTACATATCCCCCCAAAAGCCTGATGTTTTACATGAGTTTACGATACTGTGTTGGACTGCATTCATCACTAATCTGAAACATATGCAGCCCACAGACACAGGTTGGACATAACCATAGTGAATAGACTACATAGTGGGATGTTCTAGACCTAGATCCGAAACCTCTAATCCCCCAACCCAGTTTCTTCTTACAGAATGACCAGTCTTACCGAAGTGACCAGCAATACCTGATCTCTTTCTGAAAAGTGTCGTAATGAAGAAAAGGAAGAAAAAGGGATCTGTTTCCAGATTTCTGTAGAGCATAGACTGAGTAATCCAGGTGCCTTTTCCCCTGGGAATCCAAAAGCACAGGGCCAGAGATTCCTGGAAAGAGAGATTACACCGGGTAAGGACAAAGTGGTGCTCATGGCTGAGAACAGCAGCCCGTGCCAACTCTGATTGGCATGCCCATTCCCCACCAGACATGGATAACAGGTTCTGCCATTTGACAAAATCTGAGCCAGGGTCAACATATACACCAAGGGACAGAAGGTGGCTCAGAAGTGGAGGCACACTGGGAAGGTAGACTATCTCTTTAGCTCTCTTTAGCAGGGAGGCTCATCCAGTGTTGAGGGAAAAATTAAGCCATCTTGCATGCATTGCGCATGAAACCACCTCCTCTGAAATCAGAAATCATGGCGCCTGGAAGCTGAATGGCCACAGGGCTGGGGATGAAGGGCAGACAGTTGTCCTCTGGTCCCTGCCGTGCTGGCTAATCCCTGTAAGCATTCCTGAGACAGAGGTTTGCAAACTTCATTCTCTCTGGGCCCTTTCTTCTGACTTTGGTAGGTGCTGAAGCTTTGGCCGGGTGCTCAGTTCCAGCCAGCAGTTCTGCTGCCCTTGCTTGGCATGTGCTAAACTTTATTTATCACAGAGAGACTTCAGGAAAGGGAACACCTATCTTACACCCCAAACCAGCATCCATGCCCTGACATTAGGTTCCACTGTGGACAGGAAACAATATTGCCACTTATGAAGTACCTACTATGTGCCTGGCTCTGTGATCTTGGAGACCTTACACATTAAGTCTCAGAAAAGGGAGAATCTCAGTCCTAATACAGGCGGCCTAGAAGATCAGTGTCCCAAGTCTGCCTTCCAGAGCCATGGGAGGCAGTGTTGGCACACAACCCATGGATATAGCACCTGGTGACCTTTTCTTCCCAGGATGTCATACTGTCTTACTGTTCAGATGTGATCTACAGGCAAGTCTCTGCAAGAAAAGCTGAGAGAGAGTTCCAGAGGGAAAAGGATAAGATGCTATTTCATAGCAGAGTGAGGTGGACCTTACAGCAAGCCCAGCATCTCCATGTCCACAGGGATGAGGCTAACACAGCAAGCTTATAGCTCATGCCCAGCATTTCCAACTCCACAGGGATGAGGCTAAGAAGCTGGAGCTCAGAGACCACCTTACCCTGCAGTGTGATCTGGCCAGTCCTCAGGGTGTTAATCAGCTGCTGCCCATCCCAGAAGTCTTTCTCAGTCTTGATCATCTCCTCCACAGTCTGAGCGTAGAGTAAGAGGGCGTCGTGGAGGTAGGCAGAGTAAGGGCTCACCTTCAAACAAGAGAAGCAAGTGTGGTGTGCATATCGCCCCCAACTTTCACCATCTAACTAGAAGAAATAATTCTCTATTGTCTGAGCACAAGAACAGCCTAACTGAGAGGAGAAGGGAGCTACCTTATACCCATGCCCGATGATATCAAACCTAGCTATCCAAGTCTTCACCTTTGCTGGGTCCCCCCGTTTTCTTGGTGGATCACATGTTCAGACCAAGATCAGCTCCAGGGTGCTATTGGCTATTCATTAGGAGGGGACTATGCCTTGGGTGAAATAACCAAAAGCCAGAATGCCTACCATATTGTGGCTATAAGCAGAGGCGAGCTCTGCGGCCTCTCCGGACCTCAGCTAGCTCATTTAAATATGGAGACAAAATGACTCCTGAAATATGTGTGGTGCCAGATGAGGCTGAATATGTAAACTATTAGAGGACAGATGTCCATAGTAGGTCTTGAATGCCTGCTCGTCTCATCAACAGAAGTATAAGTGCCTACTCAGAGCCATCCCTAAAATAAGCATCTCCTCACCCTGGTAGGGCCCACAGTCTGACCTTCATTCCTCATAAAATCCTGTCTTCAGTGTCTCAACATGGCCGCAGAGGGAAAGTAGCTTCCTCTCTTGCCAATGCTCTTTGCAAAACATTCCCCATGTTCTCCTTCTGTATACACTCCTACTCCTGATGGCTAATACTTTCTCTCGTGACCATCCTGACAGAGCCTATCTGCTTGCCTGGACTGTGCTGGCTCAATGCTTGACTGTTCCATCCTGGCTGTTAGTCCTGTCATCTCCTGGTAAAGGCAATCAGAGCAGCCTGAGGGCCCACTTGGCATCTCTTCTGCTCCATCAACAGACTCCCTGGGACACTCAGGGCCAGCCTGGAAGGTAGTTGCCTTTAATGATTCTAATTCATGTCTGAGGTAACCCAGATACAAGGAAATTTGGTTATTTACTCCAAGGCTCCATCCATGTTAGTAGATAGCAAAGGCCATTAGCTTTCTATCCTGTAACTCCAACTCCTCTGTGGTCATGAGTATGGATTTCATGTAAGAACATCAAAACAGTGTTTCCTTCAGGCTGTGGAAGACAATGGTGTGTGTGTGATGCAGGGTTGGGGTGGGCAGAAATAAGAAAGATAAATGCAAAATTGTACAAAAACCTCCACCAGACCTGGTCCTCTGTGGCGATGGAGCTTTGGAAGGGTGGCCTCCTCAACCTTTGGTAGACTTGTTTCCGGAAGCCATCATCTCCAGTGCCTTCTCCATAGGAGCTGGGGGCGATGACAAACACTGACTCATAGACTTTGGGGAAACCTATCACTTTGCCATTTGTCAGTGCTTCTTTCCAAAAGCTGTCCTGAAAAGTAAAAAAGGAAATTTCACCATGCTGTAGGAAATGACCCATGGAGCCCAACTACATTCAAGACAGCTCAGAACTTTAATTGTTGTATTGTATTGTATTCTTGGAAATACATTAATTCCAGAAGGTTCTGCAATGCCAGGTCCACATTTGCTAGCTAGCACGCAAGCAGCAGGAAGGAACCCAACGAGTAAAGAAGGAAGAATATAGTGGGACACCAGGTAGCTAAGACACAGAAAGCTTATGTAACGGCAAAGATTGCAAAGCTGAACAGGTTTAGGACCATCTGGTCTCCATTTTGCCTTGTGGTTTCAGTGTTTATTACCATAGCTTTCATCTATATTATTATCACTACTCTGACAAATGCATACTACACACTGCATGTATCCCAAATTCCCTAGTATGAGCATGTATAGACACACACACACACACACACGTACACACACACACACACACACACACACACACACACACACACACACGTGTGTGTGTGTGTGTGTGTGTATACATGCAAAGTGTATGTATTTTACATAACTGATATTACACTCTATTGTTGCTCTGCAGCTTGATTTTTTTACAACATAAACCTAACTGGTTTCACCAGATGGATTTTTAAGAAGCAGGATGAACTCAATTGTATGGACACTTCATGGTATATTTCATATTCTGTGTTCTTCCTGAACTGGAAAGCAGTTGGCATTGACCGTCAGAGTTTCCTTATAAAGGAAGAAGGAAGGGTTGGAAGGGATTCTCTGAAAACCCTAGGGTTGTGTCATCCTCTCCTCTCATCATTTCCTGCAAGTGGAGATGAGGAGAAGGTGAAGAAGAGGGTTCGTAACAACAAAAGGAGGCAGGAAGATACCCGGGAAAGTAGAGAGCGGAGATTCCCAGCTTCCACCCAGAGAAAGCCGAGGCGGTGTGGCCATCCAATACTTCCTGACGAAGGAAGAGATTACTTTGAAAACCTTCTACATCCACTTTGCCCCTTTTAGTTCCTTCTGATTATATAAAACAGCTCCTTTTAGAAACAAAACCTATGGGAAACTACACTGTGGACACACAGTGAAGGAAAGACAGTGGCCTTCTAGGTGGCATTAGTGTAGTATGTGCAGACACTGAAGGCTAGAATATTCTAGTGATAGCTGTGCAGCATTGGGTAAGTTATTTCACCTCTCTGGGCCTCCACCTTTTACTCTGTAAAGAAGATAACAAACAAAGACTCAGTCTGAAACACCAGCCTGGCAACTCGGGAGTGTTGAGATCATAGGTGAGGTGCCTCACTTGCCTATCTAAGTCTTGTTTTTAAAAGCTGGAAGGATAATCATGTCTGCCTTGCAGCAACATATGTCAAATATCTAACACTACTATGGCAAGTGTGTGGCTCTTTGGCCCACCGTTATCAAAGAACCAGACCACCTGAGAATTGCCTCACAGGGCCAGTGCTATGGCCTCTACAGGCCTTTGTTAGGTTCAACAGTACACGGGGAAATATACAGAAGAACAGAAATGAGAGCCACCTGAGAGTCCTTTAGATGGGCTTATGTACCTGCAGAAATGAGAGTTTGGCTGGTGTGTGCTCACACGGGAGCCAGCTAACTTCATTCCAGCCCAGGCCTTGTCCTTCACTAACTGTGCAGAGGAACTCTGGGTAAATACTTTCAGTTTAGTCTTGGTGTGTGTGTGTGTGTGTGTGTGTGTGTGTGTGTGTGTGT